AAATAATTTGTGATTAATAATTGAAACTGAAAGTATATGTTAATATGATTGATATTTGACATATTTTTATTATAGTTGTAATTTTCTTACATTTATAGTAGAGATCGTACAATTTTATTATATAAATCCCAAATATTAAATTTTAATATTATTTGTTAATTCAATTTTGTTGTGTTTCATGTCATTACGTTTTTTTTTTTTTCCCCCTCGGATATCGTTTCCCTTTCACCTCTTAGTTAGATGACTGATATTTCAAGACGTCTGCGTGAATTAGCGACTTAAAGATATTTGGATAGGCTTTAACTTTACGGGAAAACAAAGGATGCTAATCAGATCTTATCAGAGGCCCGGCCTAGTATGGCGGACGTAAAAATAACTTTGTTCTCATGGGAGTTCGGTAGTCATGACGACAAGAGGGTTTTCTCGAATCTCGAGAGGGTGTGAGAACATAGGACACGCTTGTTGCAGGACACGTACCTACCCTCCTGAGGGAAGAGGGTACATGCATCCTCCGTAGTTCTTGGGGAGGAAAACGATAACTTGGTTACGACGGTTCTCAACTGCGGGAGCTTCAGTTTTGGTCAATGTCTTTCTCGTCCGATCTTGATGAGATATTACGGAGCAATTTTATTTATCAAAAGATGAAAAATAATAATAAATAAAATAAAGTGTTATTAATTTAAACTAAAATTCAGAGGTGATTATTTAGTAGAAATACATATTACTCTTGCATTCTAGATTGTGCCAATGGTTGTTATTCTTTGAATATATTTACGACTCTTTATTTTACTTCTTGAATTAGATTATTATATTTCTTGTATTTAATTCAATTCATTATTTTATAATTTAATTATGTTTATGTAACTTACAATTTATATACTAGAGTTAAATTTCAATATAGAGACAAATTTAAATTTTACAATTTTTAATTCGTATGATTTATTTCTATTTTTATCTTTAATAATTTTTTTATAAATAGCTGTGAGTTGCGCTTTACCGATTGGAAAATTAACCGCGGAAAATTTCACTGCGCAACTAACAATAAGTGCACACGATTAATGCGCAACGAGAGAGAGGGTGAAAACACAGGGAAAGGAGGGTGTTACCACGGCACACGGATCGTTTGTAATGAACGGTGTAAAAGAGGGATAACCGGACAATGACCAGCAGAAAAGGAAGATACTTTCGATCTAGAGATCTGTATCTTTCGCATTCTAATACACACTTGCATATCTACATAATAATGAACAGTGACATAAAATATATTTTATTTTTTTTTTTTTCAAGTTGCATAATTTTAGCAACTTACGAAAATATATATTTTCTTTGGTCTTTCTCTTTCCGGGGGGGACACTCTATTAAGAAGATCATTCTAACCGATTTGTTGGATTACGCGTTTAAGATGGTCTCCTGATTCCGCAGTTTCGCTTTCGCTTTCGATTTTCTCTTCTCCTTTACCCCTTTATTCTAAAAGCTGTCTGGCATGTCTCGATATCGTTTGGGTTAAAGCAAACCTAATTCCGTCAGGCCAGTTCCATAGTCGGCTGTGTCCATCGAGACGAGCGGACCTCCCGCTCGACGTAATCGCGCAACAAAGCTCAGTCTCTCACCCCTTTTTCATCCCTCGTCCTCTCGGTGCGAGACGCGTTCTGCCCGCAAAATTGTCGCGCCGATGGAAACCATCCCCAATCTTCCTCGCCGTCGTTAGGGGAAAGTAAAACTCATTCTCTTCCGCCACTGTGAGTGAAGTGAATTAATTCCGTAACATCTAAATGGCAGGATTTTTATCAAAAAATTTAATAAGTAAAAAGATGTTAAAGAAATTGGAAAATAGGGAATGAAGAATGGAAGAAATTATTTAAAAAATTTTAAAGATAAATATTTTGTTGAATTTATTTTTTTAAGGAAAAATTAATGTCTTTCCTTAAATAAAATAGAATAATGAATTAAAGAATATAATCATAGTAAGGACTTTATAATTTTGCCAAGAGGAAACAAAGCGTGGAAAATGTCTACCATAGTCAATCTCGACCGACAATTTACCCTCTTTCCTTTGAAAAAAGAAAAACAGACCAAGTTTACCTTTCATCTCGTCCCTTTTTTCCGCTTGCAAAATCATCCTCTCGGTTGCATTATCGCACAGGATGAAAGAAAAAACGGACAGGATTACGCGACTAACGAGCCGTCAGACTGCCGTCAGGAACGAATTAATTATTGTCCTTTAACGGTTTCGTTTCCGGCTCCTGAACTCTCAGTGTCGCCGCCGTTCCGGGAGGGATCGACAGCAATATTCAATTTCATGCATCCCCTTTGCACCAATGGTTTCCCCGCTATCGTCCACACCCGCACCGATGGACAATTATTATCCTTTGACTGCCCCTCGCATTTTGAGATGCGATCGTCGCGCTGGAAAAACGACCGTTGAACTGTCGGAAATTAATTGCCAAAATTTTGACAAGCACGAATGCTTTTAATCCGCGTATCAACTTCTGAAAGATCGTGACATCGCGCGGATGCGAGAGAAATCGCACCTAAATTTCGCACATAAATTTTATCTTTATTTAAAACAGAGAAAAAGACTCTAAAGCTCCATAAATTGAGAACAAAAAAAACAGCCAATTAAATAAAAATTTTTAATGAAAATTTTATCAATAAATGTTCGCTTGTCATCAATAGAGAGGTTAAAACTTTTTCATTAAAAATAGTTGTTAACAGTTGGAATTTAAAAATGGAGGACCATATTTTATTTCGATAACATTGTACACGCAATACCATTTTTATAAAGTTAAAATTAAAATAGTTTACAAAAATTGAAATTTAAAAATTTAAAAATCAGAAATTTAGTTAGCAAAATTTAAAAAATTTTTATATAATATAAAGTAATTCGGAGAGATTAAAAGGCTTGGGTTATTTCGCAAAATTGAGGAAATTTTGTTGTCGAAATGACGAATAAACGAGCAGCAGACAAGACATGAGCATTCCCGACAGGTGCGTGGATCGATTGCTATTCCGCGCGGCTCGCGTACGAGCAGCATCATTAATTGTAATGCCTGCCATGGCGTTGCCTTTTAACGCGCGCGACTAGTCGCGGCTGCGTGCGATAATCGGGGCTAAGTCGAATATCGATCAGCGCGTACGCAGTTCTCACCGGCTCTTATCAACACGTGTGATGCATTACGATTCCATCCTCGGCCTAACGTCTACGATAGAGAATAGAGGGGAGGAGAAAAAAAACTTGACATGATTGAACTACATGATCGATGGTAATGGCGAACAATATATTAAGCGTCTATAACAAAATTTATATTACATTAAATTTATATTATTATATATATCGGAAGAAAGTAACGGATTATTTAAATTGAAATTAGTTTTTATCGTCTGTCGAAAAAAATTTAGGACTCAGGTTATTATTTCATCGAAGCCTATAATTGGGACTTTATAAGATAAGATGCGAGATGGTTGTTACGATTGAACGGCGTCATGATCTAGTAGTTACATAACAGTTTCTCAGATCGGCCGTTGATGAATTTACGGCTTTTTGTCCGACTCCATTAATTCGCTAATTCAAACGACGACGCCCACGCGAACGACGACGCTCGCACTCATCGTGCTCTATTTCGAGTTAAACGCTACCGTCGTCGTCGCCGCCGCCGCCGCTTCTTCCTTCGGTTACGAACGCCACCAAATCGTCTCTCATTCTCTATTTTCATCCCCCTTGTGCACGTTATTTTCGCCTCGCGGAGGAAAGATATTGTCTTCCTGGAATATCGTCGGATGTCTAGCAATTTTTATTAGTTTTTCTTTCCTTTAAATTTTTTCCTTTCCTCTCTGTACCGATGTACTCGACAATTTTCTTACTCAAAGTTAGCTTCGAGAAAGATTGTGAATGTAAATATATGTACATGTGTATGTAATATATTTTGGAAATACTGATTTATAAAGTTTTATATTTTACACTCGGTAAATTGTACGTATTACACGGATGTCACGTAAGTATAGTTTCACCGAAGCTTCGCTTTTTGAATAAAAAGCGAAGATTGAAGGATTATGTTGTTGAATCGGCGCTGACTCGTCCATATCGTCGAAAATTCTCGGTAGACCTTCTTAATGTCTTTACAGTTCTGCGATTCTTCAACAGCTCGATGCAGTTTCCTCGTCACGTCCATCGTATCATCTTAAAATAGCGATCTCGAGATGTGTCACACTTCCTGATCACATCATCATCCTTGGCCCTTGATTTCTCGAAACTTTACACATAAGTGTTTTTCATCAGAATCTAACTCGACTATTATTTTTAATACATTTAGATTTATGCACAATTATAAATATTTATAAAACGTAATTATGTAACTTATAAATTATATTATTTTTTAAACTTTTACGACTAAATTATTAGTTTATTTCTTAATAAACTTCGAAATTAAATTAAACTAATTGAACATGAAATTATTTTATTTTCTTGATTATTTTAAATGATCTGATTTTAATATTAAATTATCTAAAGATGAAATTTTAAATAAAAATTTTCATTCAACTTTCTTAGGACTTTCGCTACACTTGCTCTGCAAATTTAAATTGCAATTATATCAATTTTGATATTTTACGCAATAATCTTTTGTAGAGATCGATAAAAAGAGTGAGAGAACAGAGAAAGTGAAAGAAGGTGGCAAAACCGGAGGAAGAGGCGGATAAAGAGAAAGAGATGTTGCATGGAGGGAGGAGATGAAGAAGGAGAAGGAGAAGAAGGCGCAGAAGAGAATGTATACCTACGAATAGAGAAACGTGCGCTCGCGTATTCAGTTACGTCCGGTGCGTCGCGGCGTCGAGACGCTTCCGTGTTTCGTCTTGCGAAGCATCGCGACGCAACGCGACGCGACGCGACGCGACGCGTTACGTCGCTCGCGCTGGATTATTTCACGAGAGTGATTTGCTCGTGAACAACTAAACAATTAAACGATCGAATTCTTTTCCCTTTCCTCTTTTCCCTTTTTCCCCCCCCCATCGTCGCTCGAAGGAAGATTGTGGAAATGAAGAACCGAGAGATAGAGATCCGAATACTAATCGCATCAACGATTTATTAATCTTGACAGAAGAATTGAGGATTAATAAAAGATTAGTATAAACTGTTTCGTTTTTTCCGAGCATCGTAAATTTCTGTCAGTGCATAGTGCTTTTATAAAAGAGAAAAAAAAAACACATGTACCAGTGTATCAATGTAAATTATATGTGAAAGAATATAAAAAAGATATCAGTGAAACTATCTATGTCTTGAATTAAATATTAGCGAATAGTGAAACGGATGAAATCGTTCGATCCCATCAAAGATCAAATTGTTGTATCTTGTTATTGTTACATTGATATTCTCTTAATTAAAATTCCAGAAAAAATAGAGTATAATAAAAAATAAAAAATAATCGTATGCTATTGTGAGAAGAAAGTTCAAGGATCAAAAAAGTCAAGGATCAAGGTCAAAGACATTAATTTTGATTATAGTGCGAATAGTGTAGCTGTAATTATGCACTATCGTATGACGATTGAATGCAAGGTGCATTGGTACGAGTGCGGCGATTTATTGTGAGGAATAATCGGGAAGGTGGCAAATTTGGATGACGTTGAGACGTCGCAGGGGTCGCGACGACCACCGGCGGCATCATGGCGTGCATCAGGGCGCCGAGATCCGTACGCGGTTCTATCGACGACATCAAGGCTGATTCCACACGTAATGTCGTGCAGGTAATTTCTCCCTTTTCGCTCGTATCTCCCTTGCCGAGAGATCCTCAAATCCTTGTCAATATCCTTGCAATAATTTTGCTGATTTATTAGACCATCTCTTTGTCGTTGTATTATAACTACTTTTGAGAAAACTCTTTTACAATTTGGTATAAAAGCATTTAAGATAAAAAGATAAAAATAGATTTATAATAAATGAAAACATGAACATAGAATAACAACTGATTGAACCGAAAGAATAATCCATTTCATATCAAGTTATAAGCGCTACATTAATATATAATGGAGCATCTTGATATTTCATCTCAACAAGTCACACTTCGGCGTTTCACTGGATTTTGCTCCAGCGCTCTTCTATCTTTACTAAAATATCCCGGGAAAGTCTTGGGATAGTGCATCGGGACAATGGGAAAAGAAATCGACGAAGCGGCGACCCTATCGCCGCCGCCGTAATAATGGCGACCTGAAATCATGAAGCGAACCTTCCATGCGCCCCTTCGTAACGCTCGTCTCTTTGCGCGCTCAAAAATAGTACGCGATGACTAACTCTCTCCTCTCCTCGCTCTCTGCGTGGTCGCTGTGCTCCTCTCCTGCTCTCCTCTGTCTCCTCCTCCTCCTCCTCCTCTTCCGACTCTGTACGACAACCACGTTTGTCTTCCCTTGTGCTTTCCCAGCGTCGCCCAGCGTTGCGCGCGTCCGCCTCTTCGGGAGCTCTCGAGAGAGCGTCGCTTACTTCGCTCGCTCGCTCGCTCGCTCGCGCTGAAAAGCTTGGCGTTTTGCCAGCGTGGTAAAACGCGTCAGGACAATTCATGCTTCCGCACGTGATTTATGTACCCAATTCTCACTTATAGACAGAAATGTACAAAAATTATTATATTGTATATAAAAAGTTACATTTGAGAAATATCAAGTGATTTTATTTTCTTGGGAAAAGATCATATTTATCTTTTAGACAGAGGGAAAAAGAATTGCAACGATAAAGTTGTAAAAATTTGTGAGAGAATAACTTGATTACGATATTATATTTTATTGGTGAAGCAAAACGGAGCTTTCTTTACTGCTAACATAGCGGTAAAAGTTCACAGCGCACAATATCTTGTCAGAAATAATGTAATAAATATCTACAACAGTATCAATTGATTGACGAATAAATTTATCGAAAAGCATCATTTCTTTACCGTTCGAATATTTGACAAATAAATATGGAACATACACGAATGACAAAGTCGGTATGGTAGAGTCAGCGGGCACCTGCGGCACAATAAAAAATATCAAGTAAAAAAAAAAAGAAAAAGAGAACGGGAGAAAGAGTCGTCGCGTGTTAATAAACGTAAGTGTACACGCACTTGCACGGGGTTGCAATCAACGAGAGATAACACCCGCATGACGTATGGGTATCGCCGCCGTATGATGGAAATGCAAATGGATGCGTCGCACGTCGCGCTGTTTTTCGTCGAAAGCGAAAACGACAGAAAAAGAGTTCGCGGAGCTTCGCGGTCAGCTGCAAATGCATTCAATTTTGTCGACGCACGCCGGGCACCTGTCGCACATTACGCGAATAGGCGCGCGGTCCTCGGGACCGTCGAGACCACTCGCGATGTCATCAACGCGCTAATTGAAATTCTGTACTTCTGACGATCGAAAATTTGCCACTTGTAATTGAGACTTGAGTACGATTTATAACTTGTAATTAGAGTGACTCGATAATCGGGATTTATGTACGGGATTTTATGTTTCTAATTAGAGACGCGATTTGGATTCGTGATCGAGACTTTGCCGCAACGTACTAACTTGCAACGTAATGACAGAAAAGTTGGATCGCGATATATTGCGTTAACTGGAATCTGACTCGGCAACAAATTAACACACGCTTTGACATAATAATAAGATAAATCAAATTGCGGGATTGCAGCAACGACATGATAGACTTTCGAAGTGCACTTTGCCCACAAAGTGCTCGTTAATGCACTTCTCCATACTTTAATCCACTCGCTCACTATGAAATGACTATGCACGATGCGTATAATTTTCTTATTTTACGCATGCAACTCTCCAAAGGTATTTCTTGCTAAGATTTTTATTTTATTTTATGTGCTTATTGGAATTTTTAAATAAAGCAAATTATAACGTTACGAACGATAGAAATGTTTACTTATCGCTATTATAGAAAACTTAAATATTCTTAAAGAAGAATAATATAGAAAAGAATTTATAATAAAATATTAATAAATACATACGTTAAGGTCTTGTAGAAGGATAATATTTGCAGAATAATAAATCACAAAGTATGCACATGTTACAAGCGAAAAATTCTCATAATTTGACATGCCACAAATAAGGAAACATTCTTTAAGGTAGAAAGATTTCTATCGCACGCCAATCAGTATTCTCTATTTTGCTTCTTCCGTTTCAAGTAGCTTAGGGTTAACTATATCATTTGAACAAATCCAACTAAGGTTTGCGGGCAAATATGATTGCGATATATTTCCTGAAATTAATCTAAATCTATATATTTAGGAAAACAATTACAGGAAATAATAAATTAGAACATAACAAAATTTATTTTTTATTTATCTCTCATCTCAATAACATGCACTTATTAACAATAATAGGTAGCTTATATTTTTATTTATAAAATTATTTTTGGTGGAGTAAAACTAGTAAAATTAGTTTTAATAAATTTTTAGTACGGGAAATAAACGAATGTCTGCAAACAATTGGGATCATTCGTTATTTTTGTCTATAGAACTGAAGCAAGCAATGAAGAAATAATAACCGATGTGCAGTCACGGAACGAAGAAATAAGAAATAATCGATCGATCGATCGATCGATCGACCATTAAAGTCCGTTCCCTTGCGATATGTTTGCTCTCTACAAGCTATTCGTTATTATTGTCCCTCCCTTTCTTTCTCGCGATTGCCTTTAATTCACCGCGCGAGCTACGATCTCGAAAGTCGATCGATCAGCCATAATCTTTGCCGATGAAACACAACGTAATTAAGAACGCGTACAATTTTCCGTCTTGTACTCTACCGAGTACAATTGCGAGTGCTCGATTCATTCCGTAAATGTTTTTCCTTTAAAAGACAAGAAAAATAATAATGAGAAGTAGTAGATATTATAAATAGAGAAATTTTATAATTCAAAGTATCTTGAAATATACAAAAAAAATGTGCTTGTTTTAATAAAATGATAATAAAATAAGAAAACGATAATTTCAGAAAATATTACTAATGAAAATATGCCATCCCATTTAAAAGAATATTGATAATCTCGAAATGATTGAAAAAACACCCTGTATATTATTTTGTAAATAATTTGTATAATTATTTTGAATAATTACAGATCTATACAGATTGGGCTAATTATTATCTGGAACGAGGGGGTTGCAAGAGGAGGGTGGCCGATCTTCAGGCTGATCTCTGCGACGGTGTTCTTTTAGCTGACTTGGTGGAAGCTGTCAGTAAGTGTCAATCGTTTGTTGTCAATTTTCACATTTTCTTAATTACAAGAAAAAAAAACATTTTATATAATTAAAAGATGCTTATAGATTTGCAAATTAATTAGATTTATAAATATAATATTAGAATTTTTTTAATTATCTAAATAATTTGTTTCGTTTTATACAAAAGATTGAAAAAAAATTCGCTTTAAATTGCAAAATTTTACGAATAAAAATTGATGCGCAAAAAAATTAAGCGGTGGCGCAGGTCATGACATAAATCTGCGATTCGCCTAACAGTACTAAATCGTTTATGGCGTTGGACAGTTACCCATAACATATAAATCGGCAGTAAAGTCATTAGTGCATAGGGTACGACAGTCACGTGCCGCATGCGCGTATGCGTATGCATTCATCGCGACCGTTAGTTAAATAAAAGGAATATTTAGGAATATTTTCCAAATTGACACGTTTACTTTTATTGCAGCCAATCAGAAGGTGATCGACGTAAACCGAAAGCCGAAGAGTGCCCAACAAATGGTGAGTGTATTTTAAAACTAAAAACGTAAAGTATATTACGTTAAAAACGTAAAGTATATTACAAATGTACAATGTAATGTACAAATGAAATATCATTATGGAATGCTTTTTTATATTAAATTTAAAAGAATATTAATTATTTACTCGTGAGTTATACATAAAAGGAGAATTATTAGATAAAGCTCGATCGAATCACAATGGAAACTTGAAAGATTTGATACGCGAAGCTTTCTCTGGAGAAGCAAATTTAAGAACCCGTGCACAGTCCTTTAAAAATAGAAAGCTCACAAGCTTGCCTCTCTTTTCCTTTTCCCACTTAAGATACATAGATAAAGTGCAACTGCACGTATGGTGCATCGTAGATCACCGTTCATATCTTTTTGAAAATATTTAAAATAACGAGGGTAAAAGATAAATGCGATTACGTCCGCGGCATATTTCGAATGTTCTTAGGAAATATTTCCTATTTTCACAATTTTCTGAACTTTTAGTTCAGAACTTATGCGTTTTTATGTGAATATTTATATTTGTCAGTCTAATATTTTCGTAACTTCACAATGTTATCTGAGTAATAAAATTTCCAGGTCGTGTATCTTCGCTTCAGAGATCTCACTTTACGGGACACAATCCTTCGTCATAATATGCATAATAATCATATCGTTTTGCGATAATACCGTAAGATAAATTTGCGCCTTTGATTTGAGAAGAACGATGCTTGGATCTCAGACCGGCATTTTAATTGGCGTTTTACGGAAGTACATTACGGCAAGAATTCGCTTCAGAATCGTCTTAGCCTCGCCTAACCTCTGACACGCGCGTTTTATACCTGCGATTAAGCACCTGGCTTCCGCACAGGCTCTGCCGTTCATGGATAATTAAAAGCTGTTAATTATAACGTCTCGTTACGTCCTCGCTCGTAAATTATCTCGATTACTTGTTTTCTCTCCTGACCAGACATTTCTCCTGACGCGACATTTCACTCTATTTCTTTATTACAAGAAATTTCTGTATTTTTAATTATTTAAATATAATATTTTTGACATGATATTTTTTTCACAATTTGTTATTACCTATAACGGAATTAAAAGATCGAACTGTCTTTCTTACTATTTTCATGCTTGAAAAATAAAAATGTTAAATATTTGATAAAATTTCACAATAATTTCATACAGCTTTTCCTCTTGTAATGTTATTGTAAGGACTTTATTTCTATTGGCAGTCCTTTAACTTGTATCTCTTGAGGAAGAGCATCGCGCGTGGACTCAGGATTATGCAAATTGGGAACACGAGGAGGCATCGTCCCACGAAAAAGAGAGAGCGCGAGAGAGAAAAGAGAAGTGTAACTCGACTGCGCGTTCGATCCATCTATCCGGATGTGACGTGGCTCGTTTTTCCGGCGAGATGCACTCAGAATCCATAAAATACACGTTTCTCTTTTATCGTTTTTTTTTTTCCTTTGACTCTTTTTTTTCTTTCTTCTTATTCAAACATAGTCCTCGCACCCACAATAAATATTGACGTATTGAAAATTAGAAATATTCATGGTTTTTTATTCTGCTCTCAATACGGTAAATTTGTGTTTTCTGTTGAACATTGTAATAAAACTATATTAAAAAGGCAATACAAAAATATATATATATATATATATATATTATTTTGTTGTTATGATTATATGTAAAGTAATTATATTATAAAGATGACAGAGTCAAAACTTAATTTTACTCTTGATTGTCAAACGATATTACGAATAGTTTTGTGTTCACTCTTCAGTTCTTGGCAGAAACTCGATAGTTTACTAGGCCAGACAACTTTGCGCATAGCTCTTAATAGCTGTACTTATTTTGCCAAGTACTCCATATTACTTTAGAGTTTACTTCGGGGCAACTATGCAGCATAAAGCTCTCCGAAGTCTTTCCTCGACTCTTTCGTTCTTACCCTCAATCGAGCTAACGACAGAAACAAGCCTATAGTCGGGCTCTCGTAGACGTCGCCTTTCCAATTTCGCGGTGTCGAGGGTGGACGCTAAAGAAGGGAGAAGGGCTCCGGTCTATAATTAAAGCAAGCCGAGCACACGCGCCACGTGTACAGGGTGATTCACATAAATGATAAGTGAGAATAATCTATCGTGGCAGAGAAACGCAAACTCGATCGTTCGACATCTCTGTCTTAAAAATTCTTCAGCATTAAAAGTACCTTCGCCATAATAATTTTATTATGTAAATCAAATGTGCTTAAAATGTAATTTTATTTAGATGTAAAATTACAATTAGTATACGATTACTAGTAATTATTTTTATTTTTTATTTTTTATTTTTTATTTTTTTTTTTTTTTTATTGAATCTCGATAGTTTTAACGATTCGTGAAACTACTTGTAACTAGCTCGAATCATGTGTTTTCCTTTCGGAATGCTGAGCACGCGACTCGCAACTCGTCATCAGTTTACAACTCGTACGCACTTCTACGACACATACAATAGTGTACAGAACGAAACGTGCGTTCTTCGTGCTCTCTACGTAAACCGGAAGCACTCAATGGTTGCATAGATCGATGTGCAACATTATACATTGACATAGACGAGATGCACTTTATTTTTTCATTCTTAATTAATTATATAGTCATTTCAATAATCAGTCTTCGTTCGTTAAGAAAAAGATCTAAAACTAGGTTAAAAATGTTTAAGAAGAGTTTTCACACGAGTTAAGATGACTTTACTGAAATTTTATTAAGAGAATCAATTTTTTTAAGTTAAAAGAAAAATTGGACTTTTTATTATCGAAATTTTTTGTTAAGTTTTTTTTTTTTTAGTAGATGGATAAATATTAATTCAATCTTGTTCAGATCAAAAACGTTTGAAAAATTTGTCCATTTTCCTCTACGTGCGTAAACTCGGTCTCGCAACAGAATGGGAATAGGGAATTCTCATCTTCGCACTATCTGTCAATCGTCAACGTTGTTTTGACGATTTAAAAGAGAGTCGGGTAAACTCAAGCTTAAACCGGAACCGACGCGGTGTCTCTGGCCAACCAGTCGGCTCCATTGCGATCTATTTCTATTTCGCGGATAATCCTCTCTCTCGAGATAGCGAGGATGAGTCATTTCGTATATATTAGTCAAGCATCGCGCTGGTCTTCCTAATTTCTTGACATAGAGCGGTAATTATAAATAATATAGATGAACCCGAATTTTATTCATGAAGTTTGAGTAAATGAAGCTTGAGTTTGCTTTGACGAAAAATTGAGAGCACCAAGAGCGCTTTAAAAAGAAATAATATGATTATGAAATAATTCTAAAAATTGATATCGTACATGACAAGTATATTAAAGTACTTTTGACTCATAATTGAGCTATAATTATCGCGTATCAAGAAAGTGTGCTCTAACATGTGTAATAATGTCTGTAATTATGACGCAATTCACTTATAATCAAGAAACCAAACATCGACATCGAGTTTAAATAAACGTAACTCTACAAACGAGCGTTTAAAAATTGATTACCTGATCGTTTAGATTAGAGGAGTGCGATCAAGTGTTGGGAAGGCGTGCGGGGAACGTCGATGGCGGAACGTTGAAAACGTCGCGGTACGTCGCAGTATGTCGCAGGTGTCCTAGATACGAGATAGTACATATGTACACTGAGGTACGAATAGGAAAGAGGGCAAAGAGAAAATGGGGAATCGAATAGGCGCGGTTTCCCGGTATAAAACCGCTTTGTGGAAACAAGAAACAAAGAGAGAGAGAGACGTTTTAGGCTGTAGTTCTTTTTTCGACTGAAATGCCCGTCTATGTAAGATGTCTTTGAAAAACCGCCTTACTATCTCGAATATTTAAATTAAGATAAATTAATTTAATAAGTATATTTAAAAGTAATTTACAGTTCTGATTTTTTAAATTTGTAATTTAATTTTATTTAAATTTTTAATTTTAATTTATTTTTATTAGTTTGAACATATTTAAAATTAATTTGTCTCATATTATCTTATATTATCCATATCTTAAATTATGTGAAATATCAATATCTTAATTTTTTTTATTGATTTCACGTTAAATTAAAAGAAAAAAAAAACTTTCCTCCACAATATACCCTACTGTTTCCTCTCAATAGAAAATACAATTCTTCTATCTACAGAATTAATCATCTGGTATCTGACGATAGTTCGATTTTCCCACGTAAGATTTCTTATGCAAAAAATTTGGCAATTGGTTACGCTGTTGCGTTACTCGATTAATATCCGCAGTTAATCGTGGTTTTATATTCATCGCGAAACTAGTAATCGATATAATAATAGAAAAGATACAAAATAAAAGACAAACAATGCACCTACATATAAAATGCAATTTTTTATTCGACTTCTACTTTTAATTAATATCTGATCGCGTAGAAATTGCTTCTTGCAGTCGGTCACCGTATCCTTATTGATCCTGAACCTGACTTTGCGAACGCGACTCGAGATGACTTGGAATGCAATTTTCCCTTGACGTAACACGCAATGCATTCTACGTCCTTGAATTCCCCATGATTCATGCTTTTAATCTCATTTCAACATTGTGACATTTATTTCCCCATATTTGCGTAATACAGAAATTGCAGTGCGCCGGTTGAGAGAAAATTGTGTCTCATAGATGAGTTTACATACATGTTTTTTCTAAGTAATGTATATTTAACTTGAAAGTTTAATTTTTAATTAATGAGCCTTCTACGTGACATTCATTTCCCTTTGTCCCTTTTTATATATACACTTTAGAAAATAGTACATTTTGCATAATGAGAACTCAAAAAATAGTGGAACGCATTCCGAGTATTTCCGGTTGTCCTGTGTCAGCGCACGAGTGAACGGTTTGTTTTCAAAAGTTAATGACGTTCCCGCGCGAACCGATAAACTGTTACATTGTTGGCTGACGGACTGGCGTGTTCGTGAAAGATTCAGCAATTCGATTCGCGGATGTCTCGGTGAATGAGCCGACCGCGGAAAAAAAGCCTCGCCTCTCGCCCGGATCCCGTC